TCCGCTGAGTTGAGCGGACCGTGACATGTTTCCACTAGTTAACTGTGGCACACAAAGAGCTTGCATATGAGGTTAAAGAAAAAGGATGATGACAAGAGTATTTATTGCGATGAGGTAACTCACCGTTGAAGATTTACAGAACCCTCTGTGCTGAGGCCGTGTTGGGGTACAGTCTTTCGGAAATCAAATGTCAAAACTTCCTGGGGGTCAGAGAGTGACTTGCAAGGATATTCCCACAGAGGGTGGGGTTCTGCTTCCTTGGATTCCCTAAAATTCAGGGAATTCTGAAGAAAGAAAGCAATAAAACTATCTGAAAACAATCCAAAGGCAAACCTTATTCTCAAGTTAATTATGTGTCCTGAACCCAGAGTATTTAGGCAATAAAGCTGCACAGGGACAGGACTGCACTTTTTATGCACAAGGGAAAGAAAATTTCTACTACATGCACGAATTAATTGCTACGACTATGTAACTATGTAAATAGTAAAACAGAAATAGGCACTTCCAAAATACAGTGCATTTAACTTCTCTTCCGCCTTGAGATTAATTTTGCTCTAGCACTGCCTGTACTCCTCCACAGTAACTATAAAGGCACTCAAAATGCCTAACTCAAATGCAGATATCAACATTACAGCTCTAGAAACTGATATAAATAAATCTCACCCTTCCTATCTATTTCTCGGATGTCAAAAAGGCCTTTTCTCTTTCAAAAGTACCTGCAAGGGCAAGTAAGGGCAGCAGGATTAATCTAAGAACAACTGCCAGATGATTTGATTTCAAGCTCAGAATCAAATTTTGAGAACCATTTTTCTTTCTAAATGAACAGAAGTATTTTCAAAACAGTGCAAAGTACTGAAGAGCTTGACAAATGTGTAGACACATACAACCCCCAAACCCATGCCCCAGAAGTTACTGTTTTGCAAGAACCAAATAGCCACCTTATTTATGAAAAACTAAACCAATGATGTTCTGCCTAACACACAAGTCACTGAACAGTCACTAAACACTTTTCTAAGCAAAGTGAGTTTTGTTCCATTTTGCTGAGGCATGTGCAAAAACTATTTTCAGTCTTCTTACTTTAATCATATCATCCATAGTTCGGACATCAAAACCTTCACAGATGCCACATGGACTCCGGATTCTCCATAAGTCCTAAAAACAAAAACAGGATTTTGTTTGGCTTTATTAAATGAAATAGGAAATCTTAAAATAATTTTACCTGTAGATTAGACCTTTGATAACAAGCCAGATAAAGACTCTTTACTATCTATACGTTGCTAAACAATTAGAACTACTGCAAGAAGCAGAAGATAGTATAAATGTGGAAAAATGTTTTGCAAGACAGTTAATTCTTTAGCCACTGTTTACAACTCCTCTAAAGAATCTGCCCCATTTCTTTCCATTTCTATTCAGAGTTTACTTTAGTGTAGGTATGGATTTGCAAAGATTAAACCCTTACAGCCCCCCCATTTCCACTACCTAGCACTGCTAAGTGCTCCCACTTGCATGGAACATCTTGCAGCCTCCTGGGCTACCATTTAGCATTTTTTGAGTACAATCACTTTAGGCACTTTGTACTATGACTGGCATTGACTTCAGCAATCCACCAGACAGACAATGATTGAGTTCATCTTTTGGCTTCTTAGACTGCATGAATGGTCTCTTAATAGAACAAGAACATGTACTGGCTGTGAATACATATATTTTATTACCTGTTCATTGTTACACTTAGCAACCTCAAACAGCCCTGCTTTACAGGATGGCAGCAGGACTACTGTAAGTTTAAATAAATGCTGTTCTAATTTCTGGCGGAATACAGCATGAACTGGAGTGCCTATGAAGAATCTCTGCATGGTATACCTGACACAACTACCCAATCAGATAAATATCATCCTGTTCCCTAAACGCGATTATGGACTAAACAAGTTTACAACTGAAGTAATTTCATCAAATTCTTCCTCCTGGATCCAGCTTTTGCTAATTGCTTAATGGTAATGACATACCCTTATTCTGACAAGACAGAACAGCCTACAGAACCAGATCTGCAGAATACCTTACAACGCTCTGTCTGTTCCCTCTGTCTAACCAAGACCCAGTAAAGGCAGAAGTTATTTTAAAAAACCCACAGATTCTACTCTGAGTCTAGATTCACCACAAAACAAAGAGGAGAATCTGAAATTAAAAGAACAGCTATTAGAATAGCTTAATGGAATGAAACACAAGTTAAATATTCTACCAGAATAGCTGTGTGGAACCATCTCTGAACACAGCCCTACGCATGAAATTGTAAAACTGAAGTTCAGCTGAAATAAATGTTACTCTACGTTCCTCTACTTGATTGCTGAATAATCTTAGGTCATCACTCTGCATGCTTCAGCTTCCTCATCCAGAACATGAAGAGAATAATGCTCACTTCCTTACAAAATGCTTTGAGTTGTAGGGAAGTAAATCAGGTAAATAAGAGAGCACAGAATTAAAATTAACTGCTTATTTCAGTCTGATTACTGTTGATTAGTCTTAAATATCTGCTTCCTATGACAAGATCCAGATTTACATTATTTACTCAGTATATGTTTAAATTCACTACATATTTGCAGAAAAGTGAAACATATGTAAAAACATGCAGGGTAGCTGACCAATCCCAGAGGGAAAAAGAACAGACCTGTTTTCACATGCACAAGTCAAAGGCAGAAGAGAACGAGGTTAAAGAGCATTCCAGTAAGAAAAATGTTAAGAGAAGGCTCAGACACAAAACTACACAGCTGGTGAAACAAATGGAGGAAAGAAAAGAGAGGAAAAGATCTGGCATTTTTAACAGATAAATTGAAGGTTTTGTTTATGCGAAAATACATTAGATCACAGGCATTTTTTATTCATTAATAGATATGTATATTTTAGTTACACTATTTTATACTAGTGTTCCCTCACTTATGCTACTGGACAAAAACTCTGCATATTAATTATAAAAGTAGTTATTTAATTTCCATTGTCATTGCAGTCAGACTCTTCACAATCTTTACTGACAAAGTCCTTAACTGCAAAAAAGTTTATACCTTTGTACAGTTTCTGAAAGATGACTTTGTTCAAAGTATTTTTAAGATGTGATCCTTGCTATGCTCTAATTTAGAGCTGTGTACAGCCTCAATGGGGTTAAATAAAAAAAAAGCATGTAATTATGTATCCTGCCTACACTCATAAAGCATCATTTTAAGAACAGGTATTCTGCAGAATTTCTAATTGTATAAGTAACCACAATTTTTACATGCTTCAGCAACGTCTCTCTAATCTAAAGAAATATTTGACAACATTCAGCTCTTTCATTTAAAAGGGTAAAATTACTCAAGTTAATTTTCTGACAAAAGACAGCTGAAATAGCAAAATTAATCTTCAAGATGTCAAATACTCTCTTCTCAGGTGGTAAATGCAAAATACTTACAAAGTGGACGGTATTAAAACATGAGAAACTTGTAGTTAAAAAATGGTGGAAGAGTACTCAATTTTAAGTGAGTCTGTGTAAATGGGTAATTCTAAACAATCTCACCTGAAATTCCACAATCATCATGTGCAAAGATGCAGACTGAGGTAAAACAGTGACATTTTTGGTAAGGTGACTGGTCACAGCTGTCCTAGCATACCAGAAATACAGGTTATGCCATGGCAACAAACTTGTAGTAAAAAATGGTTCTCCCACAAGAACAGAAATCTTAGCAAAGAAAAGAAGAGATAAAAAAAAATCATAATAAAGAACAACTCAGTAACACAGGCAGTTCATATTTTCAATAGTTGACAATGCAATAAAACAAGTGAAATCATCTAGATAAAAAGTTGTAGTGCTCCATCAGGATTTAACTGCTACATACTGCATATACTGTACAAAGGCATCTTTTTGCGGTTTTAGTTAGAAAACTTTCAAATTCATTTTCCTGCAACAAAGTTAGAGAAGAAATACTGCAGTTGTAGGTTGGAAGGCTTTATATTTATAGCAAGAGCCACAGAATTTTGACATTTTCATTTTAAGGATGTTAGAATTTCCAAATAGACTGTGACCTTCTGAGTGGCTTGAGAAAGAAGAGCTACAGTCTAGTTGAACATATGCAATTAAACCAGTTTAACTGCCCTTATAACTGGTGTAGATGATGCAGGAAGAGAAAGTCATACCCTTTCAAAACCAAGGTGAAAAACCTCCCATAGTCTTTACACTAAGCCTCATCTAGATTCAGTGGGACAATGTCTGAACCACTTGCTCATCACACTTTCCACGAACTGGAATACAGTTGGATTTGTTGTGGTTACAGTAGCACAATAGGACAGAAAGATTCACTTTCACCTTCATTTTACCACCCCACTGAAATTCAGTATTGGATAACTGTAACATACCTTTTTATCTTCCAAATGAGAAGATGTCAGCAATTCTGGACGTGCTTCTATTATTTTTATTTTATCTTCAAGGTGATTTGCTTTAAAAAACTAAAAAAAAAGCATACTTTTATCAAAAGCTACACTTGAGACTCAAACCCATACCAAAATAACAATTTTATTAAAAATTTTTAAAAAAGAGAACAATAGCCAAAATATTTTTTTTAAAACTGCCTACCATAACTCATCAGGATGATACAAGTCTGCTCTTGAAGCCAGCAGGCACTTAGAGCCAACATGTCACATCTAGTGAACTAAATAAAGCACATGCCTTACATATTCCTGCAATTCAGTGCATAAAAAGGCAGGTAACGCAAAAGTCATCTTACTTCCATTCATTTGTACTTTGAAGCACATGGGAAGGACAGTCAAAAAAGAGAGAAATTACTTCAGCTATGAATGTACTGTGCATTTGGCCCCTGTGTGAGACCAGGCTTGCATGCCCATTTGCCCATCGTTCATCTCTGCACTCCTAAGCCACAGGCTGAGATAGAACTCTTTCAAACACAGAGTGCCAACTAGAACAGGCATAGCCCAACACTGACTTCAGGAAGCTACTGCCAGTCACTTCTTAGACATCAGCTGCTTATCCTCAACAGCCTCTGCTCCACTGGCAGAGCCTTCTGTGCTCCACTCCAGGGAGGCAGCTGAAACATCATTTGCAGTTAAGACCCACTGCCTACAATGTTTCCAAAGAGCCAAGCAGCAGAGCAGGCACCCCCGAATTGTCTCAGCTGAGGACAGAACTACTAGATGCCACTCTCCAGAAAAGACTGGTGCAACCTATGGGATGCTCTCACATTCCACTAATCCTCAGGAACAAGCAGCTTGGGTTTATCCCCTGTGCACTAAGGGACACAGAGCAGCAGTTCAAGCAGACAAGCCAAGGGGCACCTGCAAAGAGGGATCAAACACCGGCAACCGTAATTCCCTCTGCTCAGCACAGCTTCCCCAGTGGCCTATTCAGCTCGTGGCTAATGCTATGAGAATGGATATATCTCCAACAGGATGTATTCCTCCACATACTTGCAGCTCTATACAACTACATCCAAAAAAAAAAATCAGAACTCCTTCCTGCAACATATCCCACCTCCCACAGTCTTATCACACTGTATGATCAAACACATTCGTTGAACTGATTTAACTCCTGGGGAATTGATGCAAGGACAATCAAAGCCATTGCCTCCAGCCTTAGAAATGCCTTGAGTTCATTTGCCGCTTTAATGGAAAACTGAATACTCACTTTTTCCATGACAGAACAGGATACAGAAGAGTTTTCTATTGTAAACACCTAAAGAAAATACACTACAGCTAGTCATCTAGGTATATATTTTTTTAATTAAAACAATATGCAAACGAACAATGAAAAAACGATTTTGATGCCATGGTGAACGCAGTTCATAAGAACCATGCATCTATTCCACAGCCCACTGTCACATACCTTTTAACAACAACAAAACACACCCCAATAACTACAGGCCAAATAATGCTGTTTCCACAGCCATACAAGGAAAAAAAAATCCTACAACAGAATGTAGATATTTATTTTCCACTTTGAAGATGGACATAGCATATTAACATTTGCTCTAGGCACCTATATACTCCTGAACAAATGCAAGCATATTGCCAGTGTGCTGAATCAACCTCCATTAGTATTAACTCCTTTTAAGTCTTGTCTGACATGACCTGACTGTAACAGCTGGAAAGAGCTCAGATGTTCAATGCAGCACACCAGCCATCTGAGGTAAGAAAAATAAGGCTTTATTCAAACTGGTGAATAGTTAGGCAATACACTGCTACAGAGCTAGGAAAACATTACAAAAATCTCTGTCTGCCCTGTTCATTTCCACCCTCTTTCTTTGCTACTGAAGTAAAAAATTCAAGGACCATGGGATCACTGGTTTAACTCGGCACATATTTATTTCTATGAATTGCCTAGCAAATTCCTCAGGATTATATGACATCACACATTCTCAGATACTCAGTCCAACTATAACAGATTTCAGTTTGAAGAGCTGCATGTGAGAACACATCAAGGACAATATATACATAAGTGAAACAGCCAGGCAGCTCTCGTTTATGCACAGACTCAGTATTCTTACTGCTTCCTATCTTGCTGTTACAGACATTCCTTTTCAGCTAGATAATAAATATAATTATGGAGTTGGGAACATAAAAGAAAAAAATAATTGTCAGCTCTTTAGGTGGGTAGAAAGAGTATTTCCAAAAGCACCAAGATACAGGATGCCAAAGAGGAAGCAGTGAGGAATGAGAAACACCACTTTCATTCAAGGCTACACATTGGTAAACATCAAAACTGGTAATTATCATCTCCCTAGACTTTAGCTTGGTCAGCGATGAACTTAATCTCCACTTCAAATTGGAGCCTCCTTCTCACTTGTCACTGAAGAGGCACAGGAAATAAATAACATGATGGAAATGCTGAACTATACAAGACAACTGAATACACCCATCTCAAAGGCAAAGATAGAATAACAGGAAGACGTACAGTACCTGCTTTGCTCCAAGACAGTGAGCCAGCACAGGCAGCAGGCTGCCATCACTGATACAGAGGCAAATGCTATCTGCTGTCAGAACCTACAGAAATAAAATAGTCATTCTTATTCCTATTCTAGGTCAAAAAGTTTTCAAATTCTAGACATTTTGGTGGTGTTTTTTACCCCCACTTTGCACACTTATATATCAAATACAGACTGGGAAATACAGTGATTAATACAACCACTTCAAGCAGAACAGAATAGTTTAAGAAATGTTCACATAATCCCCCCGGTTTAGGTCAGACCAAGTTTGCACAAAAATGGACTGGGTGTATTTCTTCAACTACCAATACTCCTCCTAACAAATACACAGAGCTGCTACAAATTCCTGTGCAAAAATGACTGTTTCACACTTAAAATAATAAATACCAAAATACATCTTTAATATGCTAATGTAAATAGAATACACTTTGTGAGCAAAGTCCTTTAGCAAGGGAGAAACGAATTTCATAACGAACTACTGCAAATAAAACCAGACACACATCTGTCACAGAAACCAAAAAACCTACAGGCAACATGCACTCACCTTCATCAGAGACCTGATGTATTGGCGTGTTCTGTTCTGATCATTTAATTGCCCAAAGCGTGGTCTATTCCAAAGGAGATGAGCCTGACATCTACAAACAGGACTCTCAATACGAACATCTGCCTTGTTTTCCTCTTCTCTACAAAAAAGTCCAGTGAAGTATTAACTACAGCACAAGTAACATGTTGTCACAAACAGATACGTTTAAATGCTTTAGCATAACGTGCATTAATGCATTTAGGCTCCACTGTTACTTGTTCAACTTTACTACTTCTGCAGGGATCTTTATTTAGCTTTGCATTTCCAAATAAAAAGAAGAGTCTTTTTAAAAAAACAAAACTGAGGACCCCTTGAAGTTGCCCATTGACTGTGCTGGCTGGGTGTTTTAGGCTTCGATCTTTTAGGGAAAACCTGACTCGTTTAGATTGGCAAGTGAAAAAGGCACATAAAATTCAGGCATTAATTTTTAAAGCAGGCATTGCTTTTTAAAAACATTGGCTGCTATTGTCTGCACAACCAACTTGATAAAACTTCTTTTAATTTGAACTAAAGGCATTAATCTCAAAAAGACAGTGCTGACTAAGAACACAGAAAATCAAAAGAGACAGCATGGCAATTATTTCACTCCTTCACCTACATGCTAGCTCAGGTGAGATGTATTTTAGGATTTCCAGGCATGTACCACGAGTGTTTTTTGTTTTTCTGTCACAGAACATACCAAGCATAAGGCAGGAGCCTGCAGTCCAAACCTCCAGGGTTTTTTTCACCTGTGCATTTCCCATGAAATGGTTCTTAATAATTTTCTAGTCTTTAGTTTCTTATCTTGCTCTTCTACAGAATAGCTGCTCTAAGAGCAGCAACTACTCGAGCTTGGCTAAAGGGCCACAGACACGCAGGGTTACCTGGCCTTCTGCAGCGTGTACCACAGCGAGTACTCATCCCGGCAGGCAGCCAGGCACACCGCCTCACCCCGGAGAACGGGCTCCTCCGTTGGCAGGAAATACACACACTGCATCCAGTGATCTCGCCACTGAAAAGGGTTGGTAAACAAGACCTTAGCAATTAACTCGCAAGTGATCAACAGAATGTAAACAGCACTGATGTACAACTACTTGAAAGAATCTTGTTCATCTCAGCATGGCCGAATAAGGACTGAATGGAGTAAACATACTTTATATAAACACAGAATAAGCCTGAGACCACTGTCTTGCTGGCTAGCTAAGCCTGCATTTTAATCAGATTAAAAACAAATCCAAAATACACTTTGCACTTACTGCAGTTTCACCTCTATAGTTCACTTACATTAGAAACCTGTATCGAATTGCTGACACTGGCCAGCGGTTGGAGCCTCAAGCATCTAACGAGGCCTCTTAGTGTCACTCTGATATGACTGCATAGCTATTTTGTGTTTCAGAAAGCTGTTTTCTACACTGCAAATCTTCCAGGCTGATTGGTCATTCTAAGCTGGCTGAATGCCCTGGAGCTTGAGAGTTTCAAATTTTGTGCTCTCAAACACAGTAAGTGCAAATAATTTTCTAACTTCCTTTTGACTAAGCTGATCCTGCTCGCAAATACATCCATACAAAAACACATGAAGCCAATTTAAAAGTGATCCCCTGTTCCTCTAAGGATTTAGTACCAGCCCAACATTTTCCCTCACCAGCCTGTTTTATGGGAGTATAAATGTATTACCAGAAACTTACTTATTTGGAAATTTAATAGAACTACATGGAAGCAAACCACAGACTAATATTTTGACCAGGGATAGAGACTACTTAAGGAAAAATAAGTGGAAATCTTTGTTCTATTTCTTGAAAATAAAATAAAATTAAAATGTCTGGAAGACATTTGGTTTTTACATTTCACATTAAAGGTTACATTTAAGTATTATATTAAAGAAAACATAAACCAGGTGCATACTAAAGTTAACATCGCTATGATTTGCTTATTTGTCATTTTCCAATATACAAAGCATTAGCAAAGTTCCCACACAGTTTAAGGGATGGCTGCTTAAAACATTCAGTATGGCCTTTACTCAAAATAATTACTGGTGCTGTAATGTGATGGCAGTATCTGAAGGCTCAGTATTTTACCTGGGAAGCAGAAGTGGCTTTTACCCAGTATGGAGCCATTGTGCAGTTGATCCTCCCAGAGGGGTCCATGTCAATGTCCCACCAGGAAAGTACGATTTGTGCCTTGCCAGACTTCACAGGCTCCAGCTGCACTCTGTAGGAGGTAGCGGCACTCCTTACTGGCTTACTGAAATCCACACTGCAGAGAAGCATCAAAATTGTAAAAATAAATACTTCAGCATTCTTCAGAATTCTCACGAGCTTCCTAGGCTGAACACACAACTTATATAAAAGGCATAACACGGAAGTTTTGTTTTGAACCTTACCTGAACATTGTCACCACATCACTAAGGATAATGAAGTCACTCAAAGGCATCTGGTTCAGCTGGATATCACAAACAGAAGGAACACCTGGACAGTTCTCCATGTCTGAAGGGGGGACAATAATTTTTTCACCATCCTCTGCTTCAACATGAACAGGAAACAGTTTGTTCCAGGACCACATTCTTTCAGATTCCACTAATTGGACATATACCGTTGCCCTGTGAGGCACTGCCTCACATCCTTCCTGCATGGTCAAACAAAAGGGTATAAACATTCAAGAAATTCAACTTACCAACATGCATGAGAATTCAATCAACTGAAATGTGAACCAGTTAAAGGAAAGTTGGACTGGGAGCACTGTAATCTTACACACTTACATTTCAGAGACTTCTGTAACATCAGAGCACTTTCATTTTGTCTCTGTCTGTGAAACAGGACATGTAGCTATCCTGCTCAGCCTGGTTTAGCAAGGCCAGGTCACTTCATTAACCATGCAACAGTATCATTTTACTGCTGCTGTTAAACCTGTATTTCCATTCTCCTTCTGAGATGAGAGATCTATCAGGCAGATAACTACTCAGCTATCAACACAGAGTTTTTTTATTAAATGAGCAAATAAGAAAAATAGTGGCTCAAATATTTATGCAGTAACAAGTCTATAGCCATGTTTCAAGAGTAGAAAACATACAAGTTGTTCTAAAAAAGCACTGTGAACTAAGAGCTAACTGTGAAGTCCAAGAACAATGCTTTTACAAAGAACACTAATTATACTTCAGAGTTATATATGGATAGCAGTAAAATGTTATGGAGTGCTTTATACATAAAACGAGTGAAACAAAACTTATAAACATAAATAATTACCATCCACATTTTAATTAAAAAGAAACGTTCAAAAGGGTAAGGAAGAGAGCCCTAAATCTATACTCAGATTATGTGTTAAAAAAAATCTACTGGATATTAATTTGATTACAGTGTTTAAAGTATTTTCACAGGCAAAATAACATGCTGAGCAGCAAGAACTCCTTAGGGAAAAAAAATCCAAACAACAATCAATGCCTGGGAGATGAAGTCCATCAAATTTAGGAGGTGAATAAAAAGAAATTAATTTTTAAAACATCTTGGGACCTACTTGCCACCAGAATAAACTAAGGAAAGTTCCAAATAGGAACTAGATGTCTTTCAGAAAGAAATCTGTTAACCAGCAAGTTATCAGTTTTAATACAAAGTGTAATTTTGGAGCCTGTGGTTTAGAATATGTACTCCAATGTCTTAATTCTGGGAATGAACCTAGTAAATTATTCACTGGATAAGAAATTAGCACTGCCAATGTTGTATTTACAAAGGACAGAAGAGTGTAAATCAAAGTCTTACTCAAAAAAAGACAAAAGAGTGTCTCTAAGGATAAATCTCAAACACTACCAGTTTCTGTTTTCTCACCTCTACAAGGTATTTGTGTGCATGCTCATAGGTTGGTAAAGCTCCTTCTCCTATCAGCTCTGTATCAAATAATTCTGTTACAAGGATGTTTGCACGACATTGCATATCTCCATCTAAAAGACACAATTTAATACTGTAAAATTAAGACTTTACATAATTCTTTCAAGAAAATACAAGTCATTTAAAAAATTACTCCTCTTAGGGAGCTTTGTGAAGGCTGCAATTATTTTCCTTCAGAAGTTTACCAAGAGATAAAAACACTATTGAAATAATATTACAACACTTCCTTTTGAAGTAAATATCTAATGTTATTTCCTAGAGAGAAAAGGATTTTCTAGTTTTAATTAAAAACATTTGGAAAGTAAGAGAAAGACATATTCCTTCATAGTTTTGAGGTGCTTGCCCATTTTTTTTACCTTGGCCTACTTTTCTCACCTGGACCAACAGTGACTTCAGTGGAGTGCTTGTTGATTACCTTGATTTTGTCATGAAAACCATTTTTCTCCACTATTTTCACAGCAGCACTAGCCATGGGCTTGAAAACCTGTAAATGACAAGAGTGAAACAAACTAATAAGCTAACATCAGTTTTTGACAATGTAAGGAAACCAGCACAAAATGCAGCATATTCAGTCCTGCAAAAATTTTAACACCTTTGGTATCTTCTCCTATGTTTGAAGTTCATTGCCACGAAAGAAGACAGCAAGCCTCAGTTCAAAACTTCATGGAGGTCCAATGTCACTGTTACAGACTATGAGCTGTCTCCAAAAGCTATTAATCTTTTGAAAGACAAGAATATACGTTCAGAATATTTTTAGCATTTACATTGAACAGACTTAAAACCTGCTTTTACTAACAGCTTAACTGTGAAGAGTTTTATTTCACTTAGAACTAAGAGAAGCATAGAGAAAGCATATAGCTTCAAAACAGCAGAACAATGAAAAATGTGTTGAAAAGGCTTAACATCCATATCCAGTTTTTAAACTAAAAAATTTTAAATACTCAGCCACACAACCTGACTATCTGAGGAAAGAAATCTCTGGGCAACTTTGGAACCTAGCCCAAGCTCTAGAATTGGAATAATTTATTATCAGAACATCTGTACCAGCAGCTCTCAGACTTTTCACATTATGTTTTTATTTTCCACCATGGGCCTCCTTTCATCCCACAAGCTAATGATCCTCCTCTGCCAGAGTGGTCAACAAACTACTAAGCAGAGATAAAAGGCCTCTCCTACCACACGACTTCTGATACTGTTCCTTTCCTATGATTGGCTGTGAACAGATTTATTCTGGAGCTTTTTGCTTCCTGGGCCTAGATGAAAGATGACTGTCCCTGAAAAATGATCATAGGATAAAATCCTAGATAAAAAAGGTAGATTTTCACTTGGATCAAAATCACAGTGCAGCCTTTCAACTATGACCTGCAGAAAAATGAACCTTCTCTTCAAATGTGTAAAAAATTTTAAACTGGCCAAAATGTTCCTGTTATCCTTAATATAAGTAATGACTACTAATGACCATCAGGATGTTTCTTAATTGCTAGTAAAACAGGAGACACTATCTATTCACAAAGAGATGAAAAAAAGTTTATGGGACAGTCTCTTTTGTTAAGATGGGGTCCATGCTATGATTAAGTGGGCCTGAGAACTCATCTTCCAAGAGATGAAATTTATGAAGATCAGCAACACTGTTTGAGAATACTCACATTTGTCAAAAAACATTAATCAATTCTTCCATATTACACTTGAGTTTTGATAAGTAGAGAAGACAGAATACTAGAAAACTTGACTAAGTGCTGTAAATCTGTACATTTACAGAAGCTATCCCAAGAAAGAAAAATGTATTGTGTCTTTTCAGTGATATTCTTGTAAGATCCAAGTCTTTTCCACACATGTAAAGGCATCAAACTTGCACTTCAGAACACACAGCACAAAATAGCAAATGCATCCACAGCATGGATCGTTCACAGAACTGCACTAAAGCTCTGGAGGGAGGCTACCAGCATGCACACAAGTGTGTGCTACCCGTAACGAACACTCACCTCAACTGCATAGCAGAAATCTGCACCTGCTGAAGCTGCCATCATGGACAGGAGGCCTGTGCCTGTCCCTATGTCTAGAACAATTGCCTTCTCACCTCTTTCTTTTACTCTGCTCACTGCAGCACGAATACCTTGGTAATACTTCATGTTCTGTGGAGAAGGGAAAAGGAATTAAAAAAACCCAAACAGATCAATAATCTTTTATCTAGTTATTCTGTTAACTTTTGCGGAGAAATTTTGTGTTCTGAGATTATGGGTTTCTAACTAGAAAAAGGCCTACAGACCTCCTTTACGTTACAGTCATACCAGAGCCATTTTCAGCAATGAGAGTGGTTTTGGAGGTGTCAGTCCATTTAAACCACATCAGTTGTTATCACGCTATTCCCTCACCATTGATCAAACAGTTATTTACAGCACAAAAGCAATACATTTTCTAAATATAAAAATAATAGTAAAAGCCATGTGAGACACGGCTGCTTTTCTTACGATTTTTCGCCTGCAGCACCACTCAAATAGCCATATAGTGCCTATGCCAGCACAGGAGCTGAAGTATTTTGGATTTAGATTCCTCATGTCATCTACTGGAAAATACTCACAGGTGAGAAGCAACACCTGTGAATACTGGCTGTGGTTTCTGTGCCATTAAGCAGGGCTACAAGCGTAGCAGCAATAACAACAGGAAAAACCCCCAATCCTATAAACTATTACCTACAGTATACATACTGAAATATATCCTTTTATTTAGTCCCTAACAGCCCATTGTAAGACATTCCTGCCCAAATTATTTATCAAACCTTTCCAAGGAATACACTACCTTTGGACGTTCTGCTGGTTCCCCTTCCGAACAATTCAGGTTAACACTTTCAATATGTTAATTCCAGTAGAGTTTTAAATACTGGGACACAGCTTGTAGTCTCAGTTTATTAAATGTCTGATCCATTTAGCATGTTTCAATTTGATACGAATTCAAGACTCATAGTGTAAGCACCATAAAAACCTTTAAAAAGCTTATTGACTAAATCGCTAGAGCAGAAAGAACATTTAAACCATTCTCTGCAGATTTTATCATGCCTGTAGATATGGTGTCTTAATTTTCTTCCCAATCCTATGAGCTAAAAGTACCACAGAAGTATAAGGATAGACTTTACTTACATTTCTGTAAAAACAAAGAAGCCTAGATTCACACTTACAGCTTTTGAAACTTCACCTAATGTGTTCTCTCTGTCAAAAATGTCAAACACAGGACAGCAAAAACAGTTACTGAGTGTAAATATCGTGTTCTGTAGTAAACAAAAGACCACCAGAGTCAGATGTAAGTCATCTGTAGATCTAAAAGCAGGTCTGGTATCTTAAAAGGGTACAAATTTGATCATTCCATCTTTCAGAAAACCTGTATTATCATGCAGTGACAGCTATTCAAGAGAAAGGAAATGGGTATTTTCTCAGCATTCAATAAGTTTTGCTTCTATACTCACTCTGTCTTTATCATGAAGCATATCTGCATAGCGTGACCTACAATAACAAAAAATCCAGTCAAAATACTACATACTGCAAAACACAACAAAACTGCTACATCTTACATAGCCTCCTTTGTTTCCTCTTACTAAGGCAACCGGTCCCCATAGATTATAAACGTACAGATAACCAACATGCTCTTTGAGGAGCTGAACTGTTGCCCAAACCTAAGGAATGATCTCATTTCAATGATCTGGTCATTAGCATAAAATGAACTAATTAACTGCTGGCATGCATCCTCTCTTCAGCAATGGACTCGGTACATGAACCTATGACCAAAGTGCTGTGAAACAACAGCTGGGACAGACAGAGGTCAATACAGAGCAATGAAAGACTGCTCCATAATCGTCTATCATTTGTTACTAAGGGTTCAATTTCTTTGGGCTCCATTTCTTCATGGGTTGCACTACTTCAAAATATCCCAAAATTCAATCTTCCCAATTTATCTGGCTGTTACATTAGGCTCTCAAAAAGTTACTACAGGAACAGACAACTGGCAATTCTTTGTTGCACTGGGGGTTTAAAAGAAATTCAGTCAATGCGTTTTGCCACAACTCAGTCACTGTAACTATTAAGAGAAACATGCCAGGTAACATCTAAAAAATAATCAGAAAGAAATTACTTGGAGAATACTTTACAAAATTCTACATTTACAGTTCTGTCTTGCACAACACACAGCACTGTAATAACATTTAGACTGTCCCACAGTCTGTTCACTTCATACCCTTGGAAATTCTACAGAGATAAACCCAAACAGTTGGCTTCGCTCTTTTATGTAGCTTTAGTGGAACAAATAATTTTTTTTCAAGCATACCTTGCAATTTCCTGATGGTAGTCATAGTTCTCATCCTCTTCTATCCACTCCATTGCACCAGTGGTTGGATTAGCTCTTCCACAGAAGGTCTTCATGATCAATCTCCCTTGGTGGTATTGATGTATTATGGGCAGTTTTGCTGCGTTGGCTTCAGTCTAATACCCTCCATCATGGCTATGTGAAAAAAAAAAAAAAAAACCAAACATAAAACTTCAAGTGAAAACAACAGACATCGCTGTAGCTATGGTGGCTCCCTTTTTATGAGGCGTCACATGGAAAAGACAAAGGGCAATGGTAAAAATTATTCCTAGGAAGATTCCAGTTGAGCAGAAGAGGAAAATTTTTCACAATTATAGTGATTAGCCACTGGAATAATCTCCCAAGGGAAGTGGTGGGGTCCTCAACATCAGATGCTTTTCAGATTCAGCTAGACAAGGTGCTGGGTCATCTTGTCTAGACCATGCTTTGCCAAGAAAGGTTGGACCAGATGATCCCTGAGGTCCCTTCCAGCCTGGTGTTCTGTGATTCTATGACACCTGCCTCAGGCAGAAGCACTTATCACTTGCAGTTTTTCTGTAAGAATGTTTTGAGCTGAAAACCGTCACCCAGCCCTGCTCAGGAACTCAGCTCTGGAAAAAAAATCACCAGTAAGTTCTCAACGAAAAACATCTGTCCCCGGGGCGATGCAGGTCAGACCGAGGGAGGCCAGCGACCCACTCCGGGCATCTGAGGCCGGACCTGCAAACTCTGGGCG